TATATATATATATATATATATATATATAAAAAATAAATATATATATATATATATATATATATATATATATATATATATATATATATATATATATATATATATATATATATATATATATATATATATATATATATATATATATATATATGAAATTAACAATAATTCCTTATATTTATATAGCGCTTTTCTAGGCCCTCAAATCGCTTTACACACATTGGGGAGAATCTCCTCATCCACCACCAGTGTGCAGCATTCACCTGGATGACGCAATGGCAGCCATTTTGCCTCAGTTTAACGTCTCATCCAAAAGATGGCTCTCACTGAGCAGTATTGAGTCTCTGTCACTATACTGCCGCATTAGGACCAACACAAACCGCAGGTTGGGCTGGCCTCACCAACATCACTTCAGGCAGCAACCTAGCTTTTTCATGTGGTCTCCCATCCAGGTACTGACCGGACGCAGCTCTGGTTGGCTTCATTGAGCGACCATGTGAGAGTTACATGGATAGAGCTAGCTGCTGGCCTATATATACTGTACAGTCGATACTTGTTTCAGTTGTGCATGCTAGTTATATTACATACATACTTTCTAAAATAACATTTTCAGAAGTAAATTTTAAACTGATTTATTTAGGACTTTTCTCGTACATATTTGTCATGCAAAGGGCAAAGTGTTTCATTTAGTGTTGAATGGGTTTTTATAGTTATTTGTACTACTAAAAAAAACAAAAAGACTTCAGACATCATAGATAGTTTGCCTCTAGGGTTGGTTCACACAAAGCGGCCATTTGATTTAGTGATTTATATCAAACCGGCATGACACAGTTCCCATGAGGTCAAGTGGGAAAATACTTTATTGATTTTTCAAATATTTTCAAACGTTGCACACAAATGCCATTCCGGATTAGGATAAATGCAAGAGTACTTTCCATGTATGCAATCTAAGATGATAAAAAAAAGGTCTTTGTGTGTTCAGAGAGTCTTAAGGGAGTGTATTCAATCAAACTGTCATTTATTTCAAGATTAGCAATATTATTGCTTCCCAGAACAAGTAAAGATGTAACTGGGGCAATGGGAAGGTCATGTAAAATGAGCATAATTTTCAGAACCGACTCCAGGTAGCAATGTGGTCAACTGTTTCAGTTGTTTTACTGTACATAATAAGTGTCTAATTGAGTACAGATGTGCAAGGAACTTACTTCTGCTGAAAGTGGTTCAACAGATAATGAAACAAAATGCAATATTTTTCAAAACAAGGTGTAATTTTTCAATCACTTTAAGATGAAAGCACAGCTGAGCTGTTTTCCATAGTTCACGTTCAATGACATGAGGCCAGTGATCCATGCATGACCCTCAGCTTTCTTAAAAACCCTTTTAACAGATGTCTGATTCCTTTCTTAAAACATATCAAGAATATTTATGAAAAAAAAACTGTTTTGGCTGTAAAAGACATGAATGAATTTGACATGACAGAGAACAATTGTTCTTAGTTGCATCTATAGAAACAATACATATTTTAAGCGAAACATGCAAATACAGTTGAAGTCAGACTTATTTAACGGAGAGAAGATTTTTTTCAACAAATTTCTACACATAATAGTTTTAATAACTCATATCCAATAACCGATTTATTTTAACTTTGCCATGATGACAGTAAAAAATAAATATTTTTCAAGACATTTTTACACTAAAAGAGGCTAATAATTTTGACCTTAAAAAAATTATTCTAGCCAAAACTTTAATAATAATAATAATAATAATAATAATAATAATAATAATAATAATTATTATTATTATTATTATTATTATCATTATTATTATTATTATTACTATTATTATTATTATTTTATTATTATTATTATTATTATTATTATTATTATTATTATTATTATTATTATTGTTGTTGTAATTATTATTGTTATTATTATTATCATTATATTATCATTATATTATTATTATTATTATTTATTAAGAAAATAAGAAAAAATCCTAAATTAATAATAATGATGATAATAATACTAATACTAATACTAATACTACTACTACTACTACTACTAATAATAATAATAATAGCAACAATAATAATAATAATAATAATAATAATAATAATTGCAAAAATAAATAATAATAGAAGCTAACATGTGCTCTGTGTGTGCCCTTTTATACTTATTTTATATAGTTATAAAACTAATATACTTTTTAAAAAAATGCATGTGCATGCAAAACAATAATTTGCACAAAAAGTATGGGCTTTTTCTCTGAATAAGTTGTTACTCCACCATGTTTACAATATCATTATTAATGTTTTACGATATAACTAACGTGGTTCAAATGATGAATCTGCAACAAAGCAACTATGGTTTTGGGAAATACTGTTACTACATCCTTCTTTTCCCAAATGATGCATCATACTATGATAGTTCAGCCACGAGTTATGTCGTTCCTTGGGAAACACACCCCAGACTGGCCCAAAGTCTCCATAATATCCAAAACATGTCTGCAATTTATGCTAAAGGATCTACTTTGGCTGTTTTAGTAAGAACCTAACCTTACGTAAGAGGAGAATTGAATGAATTTGCAAATATTTTATAGATGCACTTATACACTCATATTGATTAAATAAAAATCCAGACCATAAACATTTCTGAATGATTTTCTCCTAATATCTCCAATTTTGTGTTGGTTCTCATACCTTTTAGGGTGGAAAATGTGTTTATGTGGTTCCTCAAGGTCCCAGCGCTGGCATTCCCGGCCACTCTCCGTGTGGTCCAAGGGTCCACGATAACTTTCTCCGTTACACGTCATACATTCCACTACGGATAAAGAACATGTCTGGTAAGAATGTTAACCAGGACAATGCCCCAAAGACCCCATCTGAGTGACATTAGCGTGCATGTAAAGGATGAGTCAACTGGGTTCAAATTCAACCCTGATTGTTGTGTTAAACGGTTAGAAAAATGTAACCCAGGCAAAATGCTGGTAGTGAATGAATGCACGTTAGTGTCACATACTGTAGCCTAATCAGTAATCACCAACGCTAATATCCACAGGGATTGTAATCGTATTTATCAAGAAGACAAGCAATTATGAAGCCACATGTGACCCTTAGATTGTCCAAAAATAAATCATCTGACGCTTCAATTTACTACGCAGACATACCACCCATTAGGCCTCGTATTTAACCCCAGAAGTATGCTTCTAACAGATTTCATACGATCAAAGGTTAAAGAAACATGTAATTATTACAGTACTTAGTGTAGAGCTTAGTCACTACAGGACCAAACCAAATATCACAGCAGATGGGGGTCACCTCAGCTAGAGTCATCTCTCTTAATCCTGTTATTAGTTGTACAGTACACACACTATAAGGAGCAGATTGCTGTAGTAGAAACAGATGTTAATGTCAGCCACTCTCAGGAAAGCAAGATGTGACTTCCTTGTGTATGTGTGTGTGTGTGTCTGTGTTTTTGATTATGGGAAACTAATTTATTAACAAACCCTCCCAGCCATATTTCACCATGCAACCCTAAGAAAAGACGTTCTTTGTTAACCTGATTACTATCTCTGCAGAAAACCCCTCTTTTTGCGTGCAACTCAATGCATCTTTCTATTAATGAAAATCCCCGGTCACCACAACAATCAAATACTTTCTTCTTCAATAGATAACAGCATCAACAGCTCTAAATCCAATAAATTAGCAATCCACATGAAAGAAAAAGGAAAACCATTGTATACATTAATGCTCATATTAAACATCCCACAGTTTAAACGATAATCTAATAGCGAAACAGATATCACAAAGGGATGTTTTAATTTCTTAAATACTTCCTCTAGACTTCAAATTGAGAGCAAATGGAGTCTCTGAAGTCCCCTGATTCACAGATTTTATCAAGGAAGAAACTTCTCTTACGTAACCTCGCATGTCTCCACTACATCTCAACAACATGCTTGTCTTTGCCAAGATACTCATGAATAGTACTGTTATATGTCGGAGATTTTCAATGCAAGGCCAAACATTCTTAAAGGAGTTACATCTCTTAATTTCCAAGATGTACCCTCATTAATCATTTTATTTAGTATTCCTTGTTGGTATCTTTTTACCTTCAAAACTGCCTTAATTTTTGTGGCATAGATTCAACAAGATGCTGAAATCACTCCTTAAAACAATGCCTTTGAAGGGCACCTATTTTACCCCATTTACACAATGTAAAATAAGCCTTTGGTGTCTTCAGAATGTGTCTGTAAAGTTTCAGCACAAAATACCCGTCAGATTATTTATTATAGCCTCCAGAAACTGCCCATTTTGGTGTCTGAGTACAGCTGTTTTTATAGCTTGCGGCTTTAAATGCAAATGAGCTGCTTCTCCCCACCCATCATTCCCAAGTGCGTCTGCTTCTCCTGCTATTAAATAAACAGCAGTCAGTGATGGAGACAGACACAGATGACGCTGAAATACAGCTTATTAGTCAAAAATACCAAGTTTATTCCATGTATTTGTTGTGGAGTTTTTCAAGCCTTTCTGAAATGATGAGTCACACACAAATGCCATATGCAGTATAATCCTCTCCACACACATATTAGCATTTACTGGCACCATGCTGCTGTGGTGATTAAGAATTAGCAAAAAAAATAATAAAAAATGCGAGCAGCCATTAAGTGGTAGAAAGTACATCCAAAAGGTTGTTTTTGTCCATCAGTCTAATGCAACAGCCTTCCATTCCACTGCTCTCAGGTCTTATTTGACAATAACACACTCTTGGATGTACTTTATTCTTTACTTAACAGCTTAGTTAACAATTTTGTTCCTAAACTATCCAAAAAAAAAAAAAACATTGACACTCTTTATAAACCTAACATCGAGCAACTGTACAGCATATGAAAGAACAGCTGGTAAACAATAAACTCACCCTCCGAGCATTGTGGGATGCTGCAGTCTTGGTGACGTAGTTTGGGGTCTGTGGTAAAACACCAAGGACCCGTTGTGGTGTTGTCCGGATTACGACATAAATTATCCCGTAGATCTCGATGCTTGTGCCTCTGGGGTAAGAAACTGATCAAATGAAATATGAAAGAGAGGTTTGTAGAATCAAACACAAAGTTAAATTGCTGCAATTTTGTTAAAACGCTGTTACTCTTTGACATTTTAGCTCCATAAAGTAGAGACTGATGACCACATTAAATCAGTGGCAAAGAAACATAAACAATCCTCTACAAGTATTAGCTTTTTTTTGTCGAAACAAATGCTTCAAAACAAATGACATAAGAATCATTTATGGAAGATTTTTTTTCTTGTAATTTCAGCCAAGAACAACATCTCAATAATTTGCAGATTAATAAGAGCGGTATGACTAACTATATCTGCAACATCAGAATGCAGATGCTATTCCACACTTCATTGCGATGCAAGAATCTGTTTGGCCCTAGGAAAAATGTAGCTTCTTCATTTTTTTTTTCACAAAGTACAAAGGTTTGATATAATAAATGCATGTAGACAAATAATGATTTTGGCTAGAGAATAGGGTAGTATAAAGCTTCAGGCCAGAGAAGGTCAAAAACTGCAAAGGGCTTGGGTTAGGCCACCCTCATTATGAGAGTTGTTGTTTTAAGAGTGTTTTCTTTACATTTTGAAAGCTGCATCACACAAAAACTTTTTTTTGTTACATTATAGAACTGCTCAATTTGCAGGCTTATCTTTCATCCAATCTTATTATAAATGGTTATGATAATTAAGTTGATAGTATATTGTTAATGAAGTGATATCATTCATTAATTTTCCTTTGGCCTAGTCCCTTATCTAGCAGGGGTTGCCAAACCGGAATTAACCGCCAACTAATAATGTAATAATGTTTTAGGCAGCTGATGCACTTCCAGCTGCAACCCAGTTCTGGGATACATACATTCCCACGTTCACACATACACTATTCACCTTATTCTCCGCCGACGAGCGGGCGCTGCCATTTGAATCTTTTGGCTCGAGACTTCCGGTCTCATTCACTTCCATTCATTTTTTGACGTTAAAAACTGCTCGTTACACTGCTTAATGTTGCAATTTGATATTTTCTTATTATATTATTCTACTTGGTCTGTATAGTCATGCAAACATTTGTTAGTAGAGCAAGTAGTTTGACCATTTTCTGCCATTTATCATTCCTAGTCATTTCTCCCATAGGCGACTGAATCGGAAGTTATAAGACAATCGCGAAAACAGGCGCACTTCTGCATTTTAGAATAAGGTCAATACATCCAATTTACCTATTTGCTTATTTCACACGCCATTCCAAAAAATTAAAGTGAGGCTGTGGTGGGAAGAAACCTGTAAGTTTAGGATCAGTACTGTAAACATTGCAACAATATGCTGTAAATTACAAACCTCCAGCTGTTGCTACGATTTCAAAATGCAGATAAGGTGTAAACATCACTTTAATATCATTCAGTTAAGTTTCATTTAAACAATTAAATGCATATTAGGCATCAAACAAAATCACAATCTCTTTAAGAGTAATACCCTGAAGTGTCCTCCCAGGATTCAGTTTATGAAACCAGGTATATGCAGTAAGGGCTTTCCTGCTTCATCCTCTGTAACCAGGTGAGCAATAAAACAATGCAGTCCTCTGTAGCACACCCTCTGGTTGTCTGTAATAGTGTTGTCCTGATACAAAAATTTTAAAAATGTCCATTTCCCGTTAAAATTTAAGTGCCACTGAACGCGTTCTTAAACATCGCTGATTTAAAATTGTGTTTACCAGTACTCAACAGAAATGACTGTGATTGGCCATGACGGTCATCAGTTCACCGCACTTCACTGAGTGCAAAAACAGATACATGAACACTGAATCCTTTTAATGCCACAAAGATTAGTCTTGCTTGTCTGTGTTTGCACTCGGTAAACAGTGGTGAAGTGCAGTGAACTGATGACCTTCACGGCCAATTCCTGTCATTACTGCACTGGTGAGTACTATGCCAAATCAGTGGTGATGCATTCAACAGTGCTCAAATGTTAGTGGGAAATTACCGGTTTTTATAAATTTCAGTACCAAAATAGAGTATTGCGACAAGTCTAATATAGTGAAAGGATCAGTTCATTAACTTGAGTTTGATAAATGGCATTTAAAACGTGTGTTTGGGAAAGAAAACATTAGCTTAATAGAGCCATTTACCTTAACTTATCTGAAAATGAGGTCCGATATCCCTTTTTATTTTCACTATTCATTCAGAACAGACCTTCGGGTCACTCGGAAGGCGGTAAAATGATCAATTAGTGTTGCTTTCTTTTCGCTGATAGGATATACAGCCAGGTACTCAACATTCCTGTGTGACTCAGGTGATACTTCAGGGTTTCTTCCCAGCGCAGCTTCAATTTCGCTTTTAAAATGGTGGCAACGTGAAATCAGTCTATGGCGCATGTCTTTGGACTGTGGTGAAAACCAAATCACCTGGAGAAAACCCACACGAACATGGGGAGAACATGCAAACTACACTTAGAAATGCCAAATGGCCCAGCCAGAACTCAAACCTGCGACCTTCTTGCTGTGAGACGACAGTGCTAACCCCTGAGCGGCCGTGCTGCCTTATCATGCAATGGTAACCACCATAAAAAAAAACAACATGACACACCAACACGACTGAAATTTGCTGTGGTCACACTTCATTTTAAACCTCAAGGGTACTATTAGATTCTTTAGAGTAAACAGTTTATTGTGGCAAAACTCTGAGATGCCCGCTATTGCAAAGAGTTTCAAAAAGTCATTTACCCTTGCCATGCGAATATTTGTAAACCATTAATAAATCAATGCCTCAAGCCAAACTGTAATTATCGTGTATGTAATTGTCTTTGGCATTCAGAACACAAATTAACCGAGTTCATGATGATGGATGAATACAGATAAAAATGCAATCTGTGACAAATTAGCTGACCTACAGGCCTGTGTGGTATTTCAGAACGTTCAGGTCCATTGGCTTTCTGAGCTGATAAAACATGCCTGTGATGTTTCAGAGGAAAGCATTTCAAAAGCTGGCCTTAAAACTGTACCGATGGCCATTAGGGAGATAAAAAAATAAATAAATAAATAAATAAAAGATATCCTGACTGGAGGAAGTTCAAGGTCTCTGAAAGGCAATCGCATTTTCAGGTTTTTAAGTCAAATTAAAGTTTATTTATAAAGCATTTCAAGAGTTTGCCCAAGTTTAGTAAAGCCATGAGTTGGTTAAAATGACAGGAATAATAAAAAAATAAATCAATGAAAAAATATATATAATTAAATGAATAAAATAAAGTAAAATTTAAATTAAATTAAATTTAATTTAATTTAATTTAATTTAATTTAATTTAATTTAATTTAATTTAATTTAATACAGCGATCAGACTGTTAAATGTCAAGCTATTGAGGTAGTTTTAAAATGTTTAGAAAAATAATTTAAATAAAATAAAATATAATTAAATTAAATGTAATTAAATGAAATACAACTATCACACTTTTAAATGTAAAACTATAGAGGTATGGTTTAACCAAAATATAATAAAAATAAATTTAAACCAAAATAAAAAATTAAATTAAATTAAATTAAATTAAATTAAATTAAATTAAATTAAATTAAATTAAATTAAATTAAATTAAATAAATTAAATTAAATTAAATTAAATTAAATTAAATACAGCTATCAGAGAGTTATAATTAAATTGCATTACATTAGATTACATTAGATTACATTAAGTAAAGTTAAGTTAAGTTAAGTTAAGTTAAGTTAAATTAAATTAAATTAAATTAAATTAAATTTAATTAAATTTAATTAATTAAATTCAGCTACCATGCTGTTAAATGTGAAACTATAGAGGTAGGTTTTTAAAAAATAAAATAAAATAAAATAAAATAAAATAAAATAAAATAAAATAAAATTAAATTAAATTAAATTAAATTAAATTAAATTAAATTGTAATTAAATACAATTAAATCTAACAGTGTTAAATGTCAAGCTATAGATGTAGGTTTTAAAAAGTTTAGAAAAATAAAATAAAATTAAGTTAAATAAGATAAACTAAAATTAAATTAAATTAAATTAAATTAAATTAAATTAAATTAAATTAAATTAAATTAAATTAAATTAAATTAAATTAAATTAAATTAAATTAAATTAAATTAAATTGCTATCACAGATAAGCTATCACAGTGTTCCACATCAAACTACAGAGAAAGGTTTTTAGGATAGACTTAAAAACAGAAATTGTTTGGGCCTTTCTAACGTGTAAAAGTAGACTTTACTGCAAAGGCTTTACGTTACTGCAGACATGCTGCCCTCCCCCCTGCTCTTTAGCCAAGCACAATTAACATATAAAAGTTAATGGTCAGAGGACCTAAGACCTCTTGATGGATCATTTGGTTGGATTAATTTTGCGAGATCAGATTAGTTACAAACCATTTAATGTTTAAAAAAAAACAATATTAAGGTCATGAAGTCAATTCTAGAATGAACAGAATAGTGTTTTGATAAGATTTCAGGATTTAAGAAACATGCAGTGCAGGCCTACAACCAAAAATAGGCCAGGTCTATTGTATTGACTTGCAGTAAAGAAAAAAACAAATGCACCATGTGGTGTCCCTAATGAATTCCTGCAGCCGTAATGAACTTGTTTCAAAGACATGTTCTGCATTAGGTATCTTATCATATCACTGCGCTGCTTTCTGTCAAACTCCCACTTACGCACAAACCTTCAAATCCCCTAAACAGCCTTTTTTCAGACTGCATTTGGCTTCTTCGTGTTTATTTTTAGATGTCAGTGTATACAAAAAGAAACACTGAACCATTTATGCATAGAATGTATACAAACGTCTATTTTTGCTCATTCAAGAACGGAAGCAATTGTTTAAATCTGCATGCTGGCGTTCCTGCCACTGACCTAATTGTCTCCATTGGCGCTCCCCTTCTGAGAATCATCGAGTTGCACTTACTGTCGCACTTTTAAACTCAGCGAGAAGCCTCTAACAAATCAAAGTCAGAAGACGGCACGCATGAAACTGTGCGTTCATCATCATTAAAGACTAATGGGGATTTTTATGACTCGTGATGAGTCTGTTTTGCCATTAGCAATCTAATATGTGCATGAATAAATAAACCGAAACATATCAAGGAGATGTTAACAGCTATCCACTCTTCAGACTTTTGATAGCCACTGAAATGCACATGGTGGGTAATTGAGTTTAATTGCCCGTAGAGAGACTGTAGCAGGAATGGGAGGTAAGGAGGATGAGTAAGCACTTACTTGTGCTCGTGCGGCATTTTGGAATTCCAGAGTTGGCACTGGACTCCACTTTTAGTCACCGATCTTTTCCCTTTGTAGTTGAGTCCATTACCAATGATGCATTCTCTCATGAAGTCTGAGGGAGCAGAGGTAAATAAACATCTTAGGCTACGTAATGACATTTGTGTTCAACATCTGTATTTGAGATGCAAATTCAAAGCCTAAATAATTCTTTTTATTTTTATTTTGATTAGCATCATGCCCTCAAAACCTGTTAATGCTAAAAACTAATTCTGCGATAATCTTCATTAGCTTATTTAACTTCATTAGCAATACTGACACCGGATTTTCCAATGTTTTTCAGAAGTCATGCTCACTAATACTGTGTTTATTTAAAGTAAAATACGGTAAACTGACATTCCGACACAGTGTCGAGATCCCAGATCACAAGTGATTTGAAACACTGCACTGAAGCATGCTCCGAAACAAACAGGTCACGTTACTAAAGTGTTTCAAAACACCAGGTCAGGTGACTAAAATGTTTCGAAACACTAGGTCACGTGACTAAAGTGATTAAAAGCATCGATCAGTTTAGAAACCTGGCGAATCTGCGTTTGACTGACAGGGCCAGAAAGCACTTCTGACTCATATAGCCTAGTGGACCGTGCGTGTGCATGTTGTTTCTGTGCTTCATATGGCTTTTGGGTTTGAATCCTAACTCCTGTACAAATACTCCAAAATCATGATTTTATGTATTTTAATAATGTCACTGTTTTTATGGTGTAGTCTCGATAGGATACAGCTGCGGATACGCCATCAATTTAGCAAATATAACTTTTGGACTGTGGGGGAAAACCGGAGCACCCGGAGAAAACCCACACCAAAGAACATGCAAACTCTACACAGAAATGCCAACCGTCCCAGCCGGGATTTGAACCAACAATCTTCTTGCTGTAAGGCGACAGTGCTAACTAAATATTTGTATTAAAACCTCAACATATTATACTGGATTTAGTGATAAATATAGATTTTTGTAAAATGATATAAGTCATTTTTAGATTAATTTAACTTGGAAATGCTGAATAAAATGATCTTCTTTTAAAATGCTTACCTTAGTTTAATTTTCTTTGAGTTTTCTTTTTATATATATAAATATCTTACTGACCCCATAGTTTTAAACCATGGCCTTTAAAAGTCCCTAAAGGTCATGATTGCATCTTATTGTCAGCAGTTAAAAATGCAGACAAGCAAAGTCAACAAAAACCCCATCCTGATCTTCTTTTTTTTTTTGTTTTTGGGTCAAGTCCTACATAAACACAAGCTGATTTGATCAGCGTCAGGTCTTAAGAATGTCAAGGGTTTTTCAGCCTGAAATCAGCAACACTACTACAAGTATAAGAGATAACAGAGGGGCTTTTTCTTTCAGTGACTTAAAATGAAAGCCATTTTGCTGTGTCATCCTCGTCCTGGTGGTGGACAGATTTTGCAGAATGTTTGCAGAGTGTGTCATCATCACATGGACATTAATCTCACATTTATTCACACTGAAACTTAATTAATCCTTAAGAGCCCAATTCTGGCTAAGGTCTGGGAACAGCACATCATATTATAAAACTCCTCAGTGACAGATCATGCCAGCATATAATTTATGAGTCTATATCTTGAAATATTGAAATATAAATGGGTTTAAATAAACAAAAGTATGCATAATATTCATTCATTTTGGTGCGATGAGGATATGAACAGTGTTGGGCATGTCCCTTTAAAAGAGTAATTAGTTGTAGTTACTTGTTACATAATTATAAAAGTAACTAATTACCAGGGAAAGTAACAATAGCATTGTTTTAATATGAGTATAAAATAAATATAAACCATTAAACACTAAACTACACTACTTTAATGTTGTTGTGGGACAATGTGAGAGACAACGGCAATTCATTCATTCATTTTCTTGTTGGCTTATTCCCTTTATTAATCCGTGGTCGCCACAGTGGAATGAACCACCAACTTATCCAGCAAGTTTTTACACAGCGGATGCCCTTCCAGCCGCAACCCATCTCTGGGAAACATCCACACAAACATTCACACACACACTCATACACTACGGACAATTTAGCCTACCCAATTCACCTGAAGCGCATATCTTTGGACTGTGGGGGAAACCGAAGCACCCGGAGGAGACCCACGCGACGGCAGGGAGAACATACAAACTCCACACAGAAACGCCAACTGAGCCGAGGTTCAAACCAGCGACCCGGCGACCTTCTTGCTATGAGGCGACAGCACTACCTACTCTGCCACTGCCTCGCCACAACGGCAATTCAGTTTTATTTACTTTGACTTCGTAGCTTTGTCTCCTCTTTTGCCAGCAGAGCTCACATTATCATCTGCGTAGCCACTAATTTTGTGGCGGCCTGAGATGACGTGAGGTGCTTTATTATATTACAACTACTTGACACCGATGCAGAGTAGGCTTGGGCAGTAATACGGTAATATGGTGTACCGCAGGATCTAAAAATAGCAACAGTGTCAGTTTCAATACTGTTATACCGTCATAAACAATGCACTTATATAGGAGACAAGTATTGAATATTATTTATTTAATGCCTAAAAATGCATGTGCATGATTGTCATCATGGGACAGTGTGGAGGAGAGAGGTGAGGTAAAATGGCAAGTCGCGCCACAAGTGACCTGCTCTCAAAAAAGAACACAACCTCTGCAGTTTGGCAATATTTCGGGCTTCGACCTATCGAGAAGGGAGATGTGATAAATATGAACTGGGATCTGCATTTCCGCTGCTGTACCACGAGTGCCACAGGACCCGACCAGATTTCTTGCGGTGCAGGAGTGAGCATGCGCGCTTCCACATGGACGCTGTTTATGTGTGTGTGTGTGTGTGTGTGTGTGTGTGTGTGTGTGTGTGTGTGTGTGTGTGTGTGTGTGTGTGTGTGTGTGTGTGTGTGAATGAGAGCATGGTGCTGTGTGTCTATGTGTGTGTGTGTTTATACAGACAGCGCGCAGATCTCTAATACGATCAAGACAATTTGCAAATTGTGCAACAAACAGGTGACCTCGAACCTAAGGTCGCATATACAGTGTTTTAAAATGTGCGGGTCCTTTAAGGAGCGGGGCTGCAGTTTTGTGTGTGTGTGTGAAGTGGAGAGGGAGAGAGAGAAAAGAGGAGCGTTTTTTTTTTTTTTGCAATGGGACTGTTTGCAGTGATGTTCCCTCCTTGGTGACTGATTTTGTTGTACCACATGGAGAGCCATAAATGATTGGACTAAGTCTGAGCCTTACATCATAATTTTTTTTTTTTATTATGCACGGTAATACTGAGGTAAAATAGGGAGGAGGTTTGACGGTATCAAAATTTGGATACCGCCCAAGCCTAATGCAGAGACTGGGCATAAGTTGCACGATACATAAACATTCTTGCCTTTCACCACATTGAGGGAAAAGTAGTGCTTATATTTCCAGTTTGCAAATGCTACCTTTGAACTTGTTGGATTTGCCATCAGTTCATGAGATCGAAGAATCCCTAGCATTCACCTTATTTAAGCTGAATATCTTGCAAAATAACAAGTGAACAATTATGTACTGTTAACATGGAAAATAAATTAGTGATTATAAATTAATTAAAACCAATATGTTTAAAAAATGTGTAAAAAAAAGTCTTGGGAATTATATGCAAATGAAAAATACATATTTCACAGGTGAGCTAATAATTTTGCCTTTAACTGTACATTAATATTTTATGTTGACTTTTTAAGTTCTTTTTAAAACTAGATATTGTTCACTTCTTAGAAAAACATTTAAGTCCATGTTACAGTCTAATCTTTGATTTCTCATCAAGTCATCAAGCCCTTAGCAAAAAATACACTGTTAATATGATTAATATCAGTTTGATACTTCTGAACTTTGTTTATTAAATGGTAAAGAGACTAAATAGTAAACGGTGTACTGTATAAGCCACTAACCACTTTTAACAATCACTGTTTTTTGATTATCAGAATATTGAGCATCCATTTTAGACCTTCTCTCTGTCTTAAAGGTAGCAATAAAACACTCTTGCTTACCTTTCTTCTCATATAGATCGAAGTTGAAGTCATTCTCCATGCGGACACCAAAGGTGAGGCTGTCATAGGAGAGTAGATGACATTTGGTACTTTTCTGATCAAAGCTGAATGCTCTGCAAAGACAGCACAGATGTTAATATTAAAATGATGTTGGATTTAAAAAAATAAGTGGATGGTGTCAAAAATCATGATTGTCGACCTTGATTTGAGGCACTTAAAGGCATGGTTCACCCAAAAATAAAAATGTCCTCACTATTTACTCACCTTCAAGTAGTTCCAAACCTGTTGGACAAACTTTCTTCTGTCAAACACAAAAAAAGATTTTTTAAAACCAGTGACTTCTAGAGTATTTGTTTTTTCGACTATGAAAGTCTATGGTTACCGTTTTTCAGCTTTCTTCCAAATATCTTCATAAGCATTTAATGGAAAGTCTGGCAGGCTTGGAACCACTTGAGGTAGAGTAAATAATGAGTAAACCATGACTTTAGAGTGAAATATCCATTTAATGTCAATATTAGATAAACATTTAGCAAGAAACAAGCCATATAAAACAACTTTTGAAGAATTTGGCCCAATCCCAATTCTATGTGTGTACCCCTACCCCTTCCCCTTAGCCCTTGAAACAGAGTGTGAAGGGGAAGGGCTTCAAAATTTACCTTTAAGAAATGGTACAGCGCTACGTCACCTGCAGACGTCGTCATATGTCATCGCGATCTCTTGCTTCATATGAGATCGACGATCGCAACTGCTGTAGTTATTCAAGTTATTTTTTGGTATTTATCTTTAGAAAATCACTGAAGGCAATGATATCATGTTATCATAAAGATATAATGTGGCAAAAAAGATCAAAACTGTACTGTGCATTTACACTGTGTGTAAACACACCAAAACAACATTAACATTATAGCAGACACTGTAAAAAGGTCATTCCCAGCCACTAGACTTTTCTGACAGGGTATTCCAGTGTCATCGATTGACAGATGTGAAATTATGTTGTGGGACTGCTATACAGGAGTTATGATTATGGATTATAGATTGTGAAATTTAGTGGTTTTTATTTTAGCATTTTTTTAAACATGCAGTGAAACACAAACGTGGTTATGAATGTATTAAAACGAGCTTGTTTGGTGTAGAAATTATTAATAATGACAAAAAAATATATTAATTTGTGCATCTCTTTACTTTCGTATGCAGCCATGCTGCTTTTGTAGCTGGTGTATTCTGGGAAATTTACCTACCCCTTAGTTTCAAGTATGGTCCTGAAAAATCTCCTTTTCAAGGAGTATCTAGCTCTTCCCCTTAGCCCTACAACTTCAAGCTAAAGAGAATTGGGACACCCCTACCTCTTCTTGTGAATGTGAAAAACGAGGGGTAGGGGAAAGGGGAAGGGCTAAGGGGTAGAATTGGGATTGGGCCTTTGTTTGAGAAATAGCCTGACCAGAAATATTGATTTTAAAACCTTCACGTTTCAGTTTATAAATGTTTGATGATTGTTTATATTGAAGCTGTGTAGCTATAAATATGTAGCTAGCACATGTTTGCTTCAATTTCAGCAAACATTATGTTGATAACATGTTTAAAAACAATACAGGCTCATTCTGAAAACGTAGTCTCGTGGACGTTTCTGGAGGCCGCGAATTATGTAGCCGGAGGTAAGAATGGCTGCATTTCATTTATTTAACCAACCAGTTTGTCCAGTTAGCTTGACGTGTATGTCGGCAGACTTGAGATGCAGAGAGAAAGTTGACCATGACGACCGGGTTGGAGTCTAGGGAAGAGCGGTTCCAGAAAACAGGTAAGACAAAAACAGAATCCAAAAAATAAAACCAACAGGTGAACAACAGGGTAAGAATGTGGTAAAATCCGAAAACGTGGAAAAATCAGACGAGGGCATTTCTTTTTCTGGACGGCTTTTGTAAATCGATGGTTGGTATTAGGGAAGTAAGTGGGTGGGCGGGTCAATCTGGCGGGTTTATTCAAGAACAACATGGGCGCGAACGGCACTCGTGAAAGACATTTGAGATGCGAAAAAGAGTCTGCCTCTCGTGGAATCCCGAAAAGAAAAACTGCAAAAATACGTACCTCCCCAACACAATCTCACGGCAATTCGTAACTTTTTCATTTAGTGGCTAATTCGTATGAATTCATACGATCTAATTCGTACAATTTAGTATGATTTGCTTATCCCCCAATGACGGTTGGGGTTAGGGGTGGGGTCAGGTGCCACGCCTCCTTTTTAAAATCGTACCATTTCGTACGAATGAACTCGAATTTGTACGAATTAGCCACTAAACTGGCAAAACGTAAAATATTTACGTTTTATCGTGAGATCAGGCTGACCTCCTGGGACATATTTTGTGGCCTCCAGAAACGTCTACAGGTCTACGTTTTCAGAATCAGCCTGGGTTGTTAAAAATCATGCTTTTAACAAATTTTATCAAATTGCTAGCATTTTTTCCACATTTTAACATTGTTAGCATGTCCAAGGCTTGTTTCTAGATAGATAAACCTCTAATCACTATTGTTAATGTTGAGTTATTTATAACATATAAACCCCATATAACATATAACTTTCAAGACAATGAAAACAACTCTTTTTTTTTGCATAACAGTGAAATAATTGAACTTGCACACACAGGCCTGATAAAAATGCTTATTTCAGAAGAATATTTCAGATGGCATTTAGAGGCGTTTGTATCTGAATTCTTCACATGCAGCTATTGTTGTCTGAATTCTGCATTTTGAAGTCAGCTGATGCCTCCAAGAAAATGAAAGCGCTGCAAGAAGCTAAAGGTTAGATGTCATGCAACTTTGCGCAGTTTCTATGTACTAAGAGCTGCATTTGATTTCCATGCAGAAGTACCCAAAGGTCATCGACCTGAAACATCAAAATAGGAAACACTTGGACTGCTGATGTTCGATTTTCACTGGTGAAACAGATTCCATCTGCTTCCTCTCACACTGCGTTGTACACAATTTGCCAATCTAATGCCATTTCAAATCAGCATACTTGGAAAGAGCAAATTGGGAGTGTGTGTGCTGTTTTTATTTAACACTCTGGCTGTGTCTGTTTATAATTCTGTGTAAGGTGGAGCATCTCTGTGCATTAAACTTTGAAGCCCTTTGTACCTGCAGGTGAACTGGAGCTTCCTGTTGCGGCTACAGCGTCGTGCACACTTTCCTATGCTCATCTTGCGGCCTTTGGTCATGTAGGATGCATCAGGTGGAGTAACCAAGCGCACGGCATCAGTCTTCTGGTAGTCTTGCAGAGCATGTCTCTTCGTTTCTGACACACAGAACACACATGCATGAGAAAAAACACCAAAAATATGTTGCATGACAGATGGCACGTGATTTCCTTTGTCTTAATCGGTTCGGCTCATGAGAAGGCTTATAGGACAGAGCTTGGGTGGCCAAGAAAGAGAATATGAAATATGGAGCACATAAAAAAGGGAACTAAAATGATGAAACTGCATTTCAACAACCTGCTTGGATCAAAATAAGGATGTGGAAATTACGCTTTTTCATAACCGACTAGACAGATGGAAGTCTGAACTAGTCAATAAGTCCCTAATTAAACCAATACATAAATCTTATTATTTACCTAACATTGTGTCGCAGATATTTTGAACATTTTATTGTTAAATGATTTCCAGAAGGTTATCAGAGAGCATTTTACAAAAAAATAAAAAATAAAGATCCACTTTATATTAGGTGGAATTAACTACTACTGTATATACTTGCATCAAAATATAAATACAGTTCAGTTTACTTAATGTGTCCTGGCCAAACTCCCTCCATCGGCCCTTACCCATCATGGCTTCCCAATTATCCCCTTCCATCAAATTGGCTCTATCACTGTCTCTCTACCCCCTCTATAGCTGGTGTGTGGTGAGCACATTGGCGCCGTTGTCCTGTGGCTGCCAAACGGATCCAAGTGGATGCTGCACATTGGTGGTGGAGTGAAGAGACCCCCCCCCAGCATTATTGTGAAGCGCTTTAATAAATACACACATTAAATTACATAATGTATTGCAGAAAACTTGTAGTGCTCTTGAGGTGGGATATTTGTTGGGCTAGGGACTTTTTTGGGGGTACAGCTAGGTTTAAAGGGCACCTATGGTGAAAAATCTATTTTTCAAGCTGTTTGGACATACATATGTGTAGGTATAGTGTATATACTGCAAAATTGCGGTGATAGAAACACACCCAGTCCTTTATTTATCAATTTAAAAACATAAAAATGGTGGACTAATTGGATCGGTTTTAAGACTGACCGTAACTTGACGTAGCAATGCGGTTTACCCGACAGCTACGTATTAACATGTCTCCGTAATAGCGTGTGTGACTCATCGTTGCAACTCCACAACAAATGCATCAAATACTCATTGGAAAAGTTCTTACTGTAGTATTTCGTTATGTGATATCTGCATGCTTCCTTCATGTCTGTCTTGTCTGAGGCAACCAAGGGCGGAGATTGAGGCACGCTGACAGGCACGTGGGAATGGTGGGCGGGGAGCAACAAGCTGTTTAGAGCTATAAAATAGAAACTTCTGAAAGGTATAATAAATGATCTAGTGGGTGTTTTGAGCTAAAACTTTACAGACACATTCTGGGGACACAAAATACTTATAATAAATCTGGAAAAAGGGGTAACCTAGATGCCCTTTAAGGGTGGATTAAGGTGTAAGGAATGGTTAACAGTGTAATTATAAATGTAATTACATTAATTCTTACAGATGTAATTGCATGCAGGTATTTAATCGATCATAAGTACAATGTAACAACATGTATTTACACAAAACGCACATTGTAACAAATGATTAATTTCAGAGTGTAAGTACATATTAGTTATTGCCACCTAATATAAAATGGGACTAACCTTTTTTTTAAATATTATTTATAATTGTTGGTTGTTCACAAATACTTGCCAAGTAACTCTTATCAAACAAACTATTATCAGACTGTTCAAAGAGGCTCTGTACAAAGAGACAAAAAACAAACTTAATCGAGGCTAGTGGGCTGAAGGTAAATATAGTTGCCATGAGTTATTTCCTAATTGAATTAATAATATTTTAAAATTACTTGAAAGCATTGCGTTATATTAAATAATACAGTAATTACCTAAAATTTTATAATAAACTTATTCATTAATTCACTTTCTTTTCAACTTAGTCCCTTTATTAATAAAAAGCGGAATGAACCTCCAACTTATTCAGCATATGTTTTATGCAGCGGACGCCCTTCCAGCTGCAACCCATCACTGGGAAACATTCAAACACATACACTAGGGTCAATTTTAGCATACTCAAATACCTATAGCGCATTTCTTTAGACTTGTGGGGGAAACCAAAGCACTCGAAAGAAACCTACGCAAACACGGCCAACTGACCCAGCCAAGGCTCGAACCAGCGACCTTCTTGCTGTGAGGTGATCGTGCTACCCACTGCACCACCACGTCATATATTATAAACTTATGACACTAAAAACAAAAACAATCTAATTTATGACAGAATTACACTAATCTTTGTCTTGATTAATGCTTGTCTATGACGTCGATTTAGTTTTGTCAATTTACTTATGTTACATGTTTTTGGTCTGTGGGAGGAAACCGGAGAGCCCAGGGAAAACCCACACAAACAAGGGGAGAGCATGCAAACTCTACATAGAAATGCCGACTTGGCTAGGTAAGATCTGAGCCAGTGACATTCTTGCTGTGAGGCAATGATGCTAACCGTGCTGCCCTGACAAGGAAAGGGGAGGAGTCGGGGTGGAAGTTAAGATACTCTTGTTATTTATAGTGATTTAGGAATTGTCCAATTGCTGAATCGTGCCTTAGCTAATGATGACCAGCTGCTATCAATCATAAGCACGGTTTCCTCTCGAAATTAGTTTATAAATAAACTTCACTTACTTGAAAACATTTCATTTCAGTTTGCTTTTTTTTTTTTTTAGGTCAGCAATAAAACAAATAAACAAAATAATTTTATGTTAAAATACAAATGATGATCTCTCTGGTAAAGACATTTCATTCTAACTCTCTTCTCAGATGGTATGGTGGGGCAAATCAAAGGTTACAATGGGCTCTGGCCTGCAGATCCTACTTAGAGCATCCCTTGTTTAGAGGTTGTAGATTATATGGAAGTTCTTGAAAAGTTACTTATAGACTGTTGGAGGAAAATCAAAACAAAGTGTTTTTAAGCAAACGCTCTAATACTGATCTAATAAATGCTTGTTAGCATTTAGTTGCAGTTACTTACTAATTAAAGTCAATATAATACCTAAAAAAGGACCATGAAAATAAAATGTTATGAAATTGTAGTTCTATCAAATTTTGTCAAGTGTGGAATTTTTTTTTTCCCAAAAATACTCTTTTGTGTTTCACAACAAAATATGTCACAGAGATTGTGAAATACTTTAGGGCAAGTAAATGACGTCAGTTTTAACTTAAAGTGAACTTCACAGAATCCCACTGAGTTTTTTTGGTTTATCGTCCCCATGATGCTAACTAAAGTAAACTTTAGTCAGTACTGTACTATCAGGCTGATTCAAGGACTATAGAATACACAAGTCATGTCACTATTGTAGTTTTAAATAGGGGAAAGTGTAACATCAATCACTCATCGATTGCTATAGACTGACAATTCTCTGGGAAAAGGGCCTTGGACCAGAGGCAAGTTTCTGTAGATTTTGTGTGATTCCAACTTTTAGAAATTAAACTAAAGAGATAGTTGTTGTTTAATTTTATTGGTGATTCCTAATATACAATTTATGTACAAGCAATCTGGAGAATTTGATGTTTTCCCATTCAAACATAATGCCTGAGCATACTGCCCGAGAAGCGTTTCAAAGATGGCCACTGAGTTAAAAAACTTGCCTTAAATGAACTTTGGCAAAAAAACTGTTAGCTTGTTAAAGCTATTGGCCACATTTACACTAAATGCTCCTGTCATGTGACACTAAATGCAGATATAAATGGGGTCTAAACTGTTTTGGACTTGTCCACTTTCAACCACTCCCAGAATTAGTTAAAAAAATCTATTCGATTGGATTGCAGTGTAAATGCTGAAACAGAAAACTGCTTAAATTGAATGCACTGGAATGTGTGCAAGCTAAAGAAATAATGAATGTTAGAGAGTACCCAGAAAAAAAACTAATGCGGGCTAAGCATGTCAATTGACTCACTAAAAAGAAAAGAAAAAAGAAAAGAAAAAAAAAACAACTACAAATGCTTGTGTTACTTCAACTTAATTTAATAAGTGAATCAGGTTTCAACTATATAGCTATACAAAGCTTAACATACTATCATCAATCAGTCTGACTGATTTAAGTTGAGATGACTAGAAAAGTTCATTTGATTCAACTAAAAAAGTTAAGGTTGGAAGAATTTTTTTACAGTGCTCTTGTAGGTCAGGAGAGACCTTGAACGTTGTCGTAAAGTGCATGAATTGACCATCTGTATACACATATGAGTCAAATTAGGGTTATTTGAAAGGCTGTTTATTTGTCTGCAGATGTAAGCTGACAAAAAAGCAAAGGTTTGGCCTTTAGTTGACCCAAAAATAAAAATTTGCCTACCATTTACTCACTCCCAGGTTGTTCCATACCTGATTGAGTTTCTTTCTTCTGGTGAACACAAAAGAAGATATTTCTTTCTTACTATGGAATTCAATGAATGACATCAGCTGTCACTGATTGCCAGCATTCTTCAAAATATCTTCTTTTGTCTTTAGCAAAAAGAAAAGAAACTTGCATAGCTTTGGAACCACAATGGAAAAAGTGAATGATGACTTTTATGGTGAAAAATCCTTTAGAACATATCCTCAACATATACTTTCGATCTTAGCTTCTCAAATACCTACTAATTAACTATTAAGTAAATTGACAAGTTGAATCCTAGTCGGGCACCTTACATCATGGCTGTGCAATATGCAACCCAGGCTCATTTTTGATACGTACCCCTACATATATTTCTGGACAAGGCAAAATACATCATAGGAGGTACGCTATTTTGCAGTTTTTCTTTTCGCGGATCTACGAGAGGCTGCTGTGTATGTTTTTTTAGATCTCAAATTTCTCTCATGAGTGCCATTAGTACCTGCTAACGTACCTGCTCACGTAAATACATCAGAGGCCACTGTTGACTGAATGACCGACCGACAGATTGCTCCACAAAACCTAACCAACAGTGTTTTCAAAAGCCCCGAATAACCCGCCTACCGACTTCCACCGGTTTTCAAAAGCAATGTAGAAAAAGAAAAGCCCTGGCAGCCGCCTTATTTTTACCATGTTTTCAAATCTTAGCACATTCTCTACTTGTTATTTTATTTTTTGCCTTTCGTTTTACCTGCTTTCTGGAACTGTTCTTCGTGGTCAACTCCTCTCTGTGACTCAAGTCTCCCAACATACAGGGCGAGCTACTGGGCAAACCGGTAACAGCGGAAGAGCCGTCCACACAGAGGTAGGCGGTCAGCTAGTGGCGCCAAAAGAAACAGAAGCTGTCGTGGCATCATATCGCACCGTAGCATTCGTTTTAAAGATGAATTGCAGATCTGTATACATAATTTGGGCTCTCCAAAAATGTTTACAGGGGTACGTTTTCACAATGAGCCTGTGTTGGCAATATGACAATACATATCATATGGACAATATAAAAAGTAAATTGTTTCATATTATGTTCTGTTGTTTATATCGTGATGTAGCAAAATTTATTGTTTACTGTAATAATTTTTCATAATTTATATGGGCGCAATATCACATTCCATTACAGAGATGCAGACATAAACATGAATAACAGCATAGTGATAAAGTTCCATAGTGAGACAATCCATTTTATTTAGCTATATTAATCCTGTAATCAAATTTTTGAAAAGTTTTTTATATTTAATTAAAATGTGTTTGATATTTCTACATTCTTGAATAAACATTTGCTCTGAAGTTCTAAATAAAAGGTAAGAAATATGATCATATGTGAACGAGTAGATTTTCAAGTACTTTAAAATGTAAAAAAATATTTAAAATATATAGTAATTTGCATGTGGTCGACTTATATAAACTACTAATTGATTACATTTACAGAAAATGTACTAAATTGTGATATATATCATTATCAGGACAGAAGATAACTTATGATACTTTATGATTTCAGATTTTTGTCATATCGCCTTGCAGCCCTACCTTGATCATACTCTTACTTGGTTATAACAGCAAATATTAAAGTGTCATTTGTAATTAAAAGCAGTGGAGCAACAAATGAGCATTTTAATAGAGCTAAAATGTAACAGGATGCAAATCCATCAATCACAGCCTGATTTTGGTGAAGTGCCGGAAAGGATTGTGAAGGCCAAGTAAACTGGCTCTGATCCAAACCTTCTGAAACCACCGGCTTCTATCACGAAAAAAAAAAAAAAGTTGTCTGTCAAGCACATGGTTAGTAAGCAGCACATTCACTAACCGCACTGTAAGACCAGACATGCTTTTTGGATTTGAAATAAGCTCTAAATGCTGATAGCAGACAAGCAAGGAACACTACACCCTAAGATCTAAGCTCTAAAACTGACCCAACGCCAAGTCATGCTCTTTGAAAAGATTCCAGCTCTTGAATATCATTAAAAAGTACAGAACAACAAGCAATGAGATGGCTAGCTTCTCAGCGCACAGCAGTCAGAGTCACCTCTCAATAAAACAACAATGATAGTATCCTAATAGTAGTAAACATTACAGCTCCTATAATGTAGATCTATATCCTACTGCATACAAGGTATTTGAACATCCAGGCAAACATACAGCTATACAATCAATAAAAACTAATGCCTCTGATCTTAAGCAACCAACGGACCATGTTGAATTTTCAATGTACTGTAACAGAAATACTACAGATTAAAAAACAAATGACTAAACTCAGAGTAATTAAATGGCTGTTTGCACACTAAAGCAGTTAGATTTTTCAGAAGAAGAGAATCATAGTGCCACACTCTAACACTTCATCTCTCCCTCCAGCATCATGCGCACTGTCGGTGACTCATTTATCCAGATGTTTTGCGAAGAAGCGGCCCACTCGCCATGAATGTCAACATCTGTGAAGTTTTCCGTAGTGAAACTTGATACAATGTTTGGAAACTGTAATGCTTCTGATACATGCAAATGCAAATCATGAACTGGAATGCAAGCATTTCTATGGTCACGATAGATTACAATATATAAATAAATATATATATATATAGTTGAAGTCAGAATTATTAGCCGACTTTTGATTTTTTATTTTTTTTTTATATTTCCCAAATGATGTTTAATAGAGCAAGGAAATTTTCACAGTATGTCTGATAATATTTTTTTCTTCTGGAGAAAGTCTTATTTGTTTTATTTCGGCTAGATTAAAAGCAGTTTTTAATTTTTTAAAAACTATTTTTGGGACAAAATTTAAGCTTATATTTTTTTCAATAATCTAAAGAACAAACCATCATTTTACAATAACTTGCCTAATTACTCTAACCTGCCTAGTTCACCTTATTTACCTAGTTAAGCCTTTAAATGTCACTTCAGGCTGTATAGAATGGTCTTGAAAAATATCAAGTAAAATATTATTCACTGTCTTCATGTCAAAGATAAAATAAATCCGTTATTAGAAATAAGATTTAAACTATTATGCTTAGAAATGTGCTGAAACAATCTTCCCTCCGTTAAACAGAAATTGGTGAAAAAACAGGGGCGCTAATAATTCAGGGGGGCTAATAATTCTGACTTCAACTATATATAAATATATATATATATATATATATATATATATATATATATATATATATATATATATATATATATATATATATATATATATATATATATATATATATATATATATATATATATATATATATATATATATATATATATATATATATATATATATATATATATATATATATATATATATATATATATATATATATATATATATATATAT